TTTGTGGGTTTGAGCCCCACATCGGGCTCTGTGCTGACAGCTCGGAGCCTGGAACCTGCTTCAGATTCTGTGTGTGTCTCTCTCTTTCTGCCCCTCCCCCACTCACACTCTCTCTCTCTCTCTCTCTCTCTCTCTCTCAAAAATAAACAAACATTAAAAAAAAAGAGAGACAGGAAGGTAAGACACCAACAGTGTTGATTGTGCTGCTGGTAGATGAGACTCTGGGCCATTTCTATTTTCATCTCTTTCTATACATTTCCATTCTTCTACAGTGAACATGGATGATTTTGAGAATTAGGAAAAATTATTTTTTGAACATATAACTTATGGTTTTACTTGCCTGTCTTCCCCCAGGGGCTGTGAATGCTCCTTAGAGGGGAAAGCCGTGTTGGATCATTCCTGTGTCTCCACCTCCTAGCACTGGGCAGGGCACATAGTAGGTATGTGATAAATACAGGATGGATGGATGGATTGACGGAGTTAGAGATTACATAGCTCAGTGGCTAAGAATAAGAGCTTTTGGGGCCCCTGGGCGGCTCAGTCGGTTAAGCGTCCGACTTCGGCTCAGGTCATGAACTTGTGGTTCATGAGTTCGAGCCCCGCCTCGGGCTCTGTGCTGACAGCTCGGAGCCTGGAGCCTGCTTCAGATTCTGTCTCCCTCTCTCTCTCTGCTCCTCCCCCGCTCGCACTCTGTCTCTCTCAAAAACAAATAAAGATTTAAAAAATTTTTTTAAAAAGAGTAAGAGCTTTAGACTCAGACAGAATTGGGCTGGAGTCTGCTCTGCCTCTTAGCAGCTGTGTGACACTGAGTGAATCACTTAACCTCTCTGAGTTTCTGTTGAGCCCCATCTGTGAAAGGGGCTCAAATTCCTGCTTGATGTGAAGCTGAGGGTCTGGATGCACAGTCCCTGATGTAGACCAGACCCTCGACACCTGCAGCAACAGCATCTTCAGCTGGAGAAGATGGGGAGCGAGTGCCCGGATGTTCCTTCCAAGAATACGGACTGACCCTCCCCCAAGTCCTTCATGTTCGGACTTCAAAATCAAACTGGATTTGGCTTCTGGCTCTGCCTCTGACTGGCTGTGTCACCTCAGGCAAGCCACATCACCTGTATGCTTCTGCATTGTCTTCTGCAGAATTACGATATTGATGACAATAGCTGGCACGTAGTAAGTGCTTACTGTGTGCCACCCTCTGAGCCGAGCGCTTCCTGTGCCCCGAGAAGTGAGGTGATATGATGGTTAAGGTTCAGGTGTAAGACTCAAACCACCAGGGTTCAATTACTGGTTTACCCCCTCCTCCAGCTTGAACAACCTTGGGCAAGTTACTTAACCTCTCTGTGCCTCAGTTTCCTCCCTACAAGATGGAGTTAATAACAGTGACCTCACTGGGTTGCTACGAAAATTATGTGATATAAGAGATGCAAAGGACTTGGGAGAGTGCCTGGCACTTAGCACATAATCGATTTGTCTTATACAATCATCACGACAGCCATCTACTCTTATGGACTTATCCCCAAGAGGAAACTGAGGCTCAGAGAGGTGAAGTGACCTGCCCAAAGCTGCACAGTCAGCAAGCTGCAGAATTGGAAGGTGCACCCTGATTTGGCTGCTTAAAGCACAGGCTCTCCCAAGGCCAGGGGAGGTCAAGGACCCAGCAAGGTGCATGGCACATAGTAGGTGTCGCTCCACCTCAGAGTGGACTTCCCACCCAGCCCCAGCCCCAGCCCCACCTCTAGCCTGGAGGCAGCTCCTCCCGCCCCTCCTGGCCTGTGATGGGCTCTGAATTGTTTACAGCTAAAGTCCTGCATCACTGCATCAAGCAGAGCCCTTGCCAGCTTCAGAGAAAAACCAAATGTGTTCAGTGTCAGGTCAGAGAAGTGTTCGTTTTTATTAGCGTTAATCTAATACGTTGTCTTTCCTCGCTGAACTCTGAATAAGTTAATCAAGGACAGGCTGGATTTGTGTTTTCTTAATAACGCCGCCTGATTCCGAAGGCTGCCTGCTGTGAGCTCTAGGCTCCGGGCATCTTTCTTATTTTCTCTTGCTTCTCTCTTTACATTTTATAAAAATACATAAGATTTCCAGGGGCAGAGGGGTTAGCGTGGCATAGGAGGCGGCCTGCAAGCTTTGAAATTAAATGAATCTTGTTTCAGATCTCAGTTCCTCACTTCTACCCAGGTGGCCTGCGTTTCTGAGTTTAAAATTTTCCTATTTGTGAAAGAAAATAACAATAGTGTCTAACTTTCTGAGTTGGGTGGTAATTAAAGCAATGAAGCTCTTACAACATGGTCCAGCCCATAATGATCACTCAATAGACAGTAGCTATTATTACTTCTACTGATAGTAACTCACTACCAGGTCACTATTAAGTGACCTAGAATCATGAACCAGGAGATGCGATAAGCATTTTCCATAGATCCTTCCATTCAAATACGTGAAGAGCAAACAGGACAGTGGCTGGCGTAGAGTAGGTGTTCAAGAAATGGCAGTCATTTCTGGTAGAAGTGGCTGTGGCAGTTTATTCTCACAACAAATGGGAAGTGTTGTGAGTGTTGTTGGTTATCGATGCACCACAAGGAACTCCCACTCCATCCGGGACCTCAAAAGCACAGGTGATCACCATTCACCTAATGGCCCTGATAGGGACCATACTGGGTGGGGGGGTCAGGGACAATTTCCTGGAGGCGAGCTAAGCTGAGAGCGGAAGGAAGAGTGGCGTTGACCCTTGGAGGCACTCCAGACAGAGGAAGGGTCATTCATTCATGTGTCCATCCCATCATTCCTTCATTCCACAAGTATTGAGACAAGTATTTATTGAGCACTGGCTCTGTGACGGGTGCTGTCCCTGGTGCTGAATGAAGAGCATGGGGGAAATAGGAGAGGCAACGTTTCTGCCCTCATGGCACTGACAGTCTGGTAGGGGAGGCGGACTACAAACAAGGAAGAAACACATAAACAAGACGCTTTCAGATGATGGTAAGGTCTGTGACAAAAATAAAACCAGGAAATATGGTTGTGACCAGGTACAAAGTGGGGCTGTTTTAGTTAGGAAGGCCTCTCTCGGAAGGCGAGGTTTGACTGGGGACCCAAAGGAAGGGAGGAAGGGAGCCATGCAAGGATACGGAAGAAGAGCATATAGATAGAAGAAACTGGTTATACAAAGACCCTATGGTAGGAACAGGCTTGGCACATTCAGTGAATGGCAAGAAGGACAGTGGGGCAGGGTGTGGTGGTGTGGGTGGCGGGGGGGTGGGGGTGGCGTGCAGAGCCCTACAAGGTAAGTTTGGAGCGGTGGCCACAACAGGGGGCTCTGGAATTTATCCTAGGTGGGGTAATAGCATATCCTAAGGTGCAGGCTTGTGACAAACTTTGGGATTTGTAAACTACTAGGAGTTCAGAGTGGCTAGGGAGAGACACAGCTGGGTGGGTGAAGAGAAGCCACTTCACAATTTCTCCATTCTGTGTAGCACCTCGTACCTCACCTGGACCGAGAAGATGGGGTCCCTCCCGCCAGCAGATCCACGAGGACTTCCTGATCACCTCTAAGACCCACAACGTGCCAAGCACTGTGCTGGGTACTTTCCTAACCAGTGTCCCAGTGAGCTCTCAGGAGACGCCCAGAAGGGAGGGGTCGTTATCCCCATTTTACAAACAGCAAAACTGAGTCATGAGAAAGTGAAACTATTTGCCTGGGCCACATGGCTGGTTGGGACAGAAGTGGAACATGAATCCAAGTCCCCCAATCTGTTCTGCCACGTCCCACACTCTCTTCCACCTCCCTGTGAATGCCGGGTTCTTAAAGAAGCAGAATTCTAGGAGATCCCCGAGCGTGGGAAGGTGGGGTCCCCTGCCTGGATGGCTCCTGAGCCCAGTACAGGGTGGGACCGAAGCCGGGGAACGTGCTCCCCTGTGTGAGTCCCTGCCACTAATCCCGCTTCCCTCCATGGCGGAAGAAGGGGTTTTCCATGAGCTGAATCACAGCAGAAGTGTGATATATGGCAGGGAACACAAAGGCTGGGGAGGTTTTCCTTCTGTCCTGATTGGTGCTGGATCCTCCCAAACCATCTGGCCTGGATTCCCAAAACATGCCATGTGTGTTCATCTCCAGAACTGCAGGGTTGCGGGCTCCTCCCCCGCATGCTGGTCAGCCGGGTGGACGTCGGCAGACTCTGGAAGGCGGTCCAGGGGCCAAGCGTTCAGGCCAGATGTGCCTCTCCCCAGCTGTACGGCCCTGGGCAAGTGTCTCCCTTCACCAAGCCTCAGTTTCCACATCTGTTACCTGGGTGGAGGGTCACACCCCTTGTTCATGAGGTATAGTGGAAACCGAGTAAGGTAACGCGCTCACAGAAGAAAGCCTTTTTCGACTGAAAGGCTAAGAAAATGCGAGGAAATACCTCCAGGGCAACGATGCCCTCCAACTGCCATCACCAAGAGATCTGTCAAGATGGGCCGACAGGCAACACGGTACAGCAGAGCCACGGCATGCCGTGGAAGCCAGAGCTCACAGAGTTCCTGAGCCTTCTCACGGGCAATGTCACTGACTAGCTATGTCACCGTGGGCTCTTGGTGCCTTGGTTTCCTCATCCTTAAAATGGGAATAACAGCACCTTCTACAGAGTTGTGGTAACAATTCAATACACATTAAAGCGCTTAAGTACCTGGTACATCGTAAGTGCTCAGTAGATGCTGTTTTAACGTCCATGTGTATTTATTTAACAAGACTAAAAAACGCTGCGAGGAAATGTCAGACTTTGAACTCTGGCAGATGTAGGGTTCAAGTCCTGGCTGTTTACAAGCTGTGTGACCTTGGGCAAGCTATTTCTCTGGGCTTCAAATTTCTCCTCTGAAATGGGGACGAGAGCGAATCCCCGGGCATGTCTACAGCCGTGACTATATGGCAGCCGGTTCCTATTCAACACTGAAACCTGGTGGCGGTTACTGTATTCTTCTCACCCCCTCCCTTCCCCTTGGCCACCTTCCCTGTCTGCCCCTCTTACCTCGCTCCTCCTCCTTCTCCCGGACGATCCTCCCCTTGAGGGCTCGGCTCCAGGCTCCACCGTAGTCACCCAGCTTGGCCCTCTCGCTCCCGTCCTTGCCCTTGAACCAGGGTCCGTACCTGCGGGCAATGTTCGAGGCTTCACCCGTGTCCCGGAAGCCTCTGCCCAGATGCAGGTCACCCAAGAAGGGCAGCTCAGCGCCTTCGGCCTGGACCCCCGCGGCGGGGCTGGCCTGGCTCTGGGAGATGGCGGGCTGGCCCACGAAGCCAGAGTGAAGGAACACCAGGCTCCCGGCCGTCAGGTAGAGCACCAGGAAGGTAAAGAAACGCACAGGCTTCCTGCGGAAGTACCGCTGGAATTTGAACCAGAGCTTGGCCATAGCAGGATCATTCCGGACTGGCTCGCTGGGGCTTGGCTGGCGGGGGGTTTTCAGGAAGGGGATGGAGGGGGGCTGCGTTCCCGAAGCTTCCCTCCGGGATGGAACCCCTGGGGGTCTGCAGTCTTATTCCTTCCGCAAAGGTGATGCTTGGCTGATGCCAAGAGAATGGAGCCCTCCTGAGGTCAAGGTGAGCTTCCTGGAGCCACAGAAGGGACCCCACACCCAGGAGTCAGTCCCATTTTCCTACATCTTGTTCCTCACGTCAGAAAGCTCCCAAAGAACTTGGATAATGGCAGTCGCAGGAGGATTCTGTCGGTCACCAGCACCGCAGCTCACTTTGCACCTTTTCTTGGCTCTTCCGGCCTGTCAGGGCTGGATTCTTTCACCGAGGGCCATTTTCTGGCCCCTTTCCCAGCTGGGGGCCACGCTCGGTGTATCCACCCCGTGGAAACAGAGGCTGCCGGGTTTCCATCTGCTCACGCATTAGGGCTCAGGACTGCCACCTGCAAAACAGCACGGACACGGGCTTAAGAAGCCTCCTCACGGAGGCCAGAGCTCAAAGCGTTCTTAAGCCTTCTCACCGCGAATGCAGAGCCCCGAGGAAGGGAGGGAACCAATGGCCTGAAGCACCCAGCAAGTGCTTGGATGGAGGCCCAGTCCCGGGTCTTCTAGAACACCTGCCTTTTTCTGTAAGCCAAAGTGGGAACTTGGGGGCCTGTCTCCTCCTGGGCCCTCATTTTCGGACACACTTTACCTCGGACAAGCTCAAGTTCTTAGGGCCCACATTTCCTATATGCTTGTCAAACGTACACTGATACGTGAACTATTTTAAGCCTAAAAAGTACTTCCTAGGGTCCCTGCCGAATTGCCTGCTGGACCTGGCTGATTCGGAACCAGATCAAATTCATTCTTTTTTTGTTGCTGTTCTTCCAGCAAATGCTTAGCGAGCACCCCACTATGTAGCAGGTACTGTCCTAAGCGCCGGACATAAAGCCGTGAACCAGAGAAACCAAGTCCCTTCCTTCCCGGGGCTCACATTCCAGTGGGAGAGATCAAAGCCATAGCCCCTCTCCTCTACCCAAGGAAGAAAAGGAAAAGAAATCTGATTTAGCGACACAGCCATCACTCGGCATTTATTTGGCATCTACAGTCCGCCCAGCTCTGTGCCGAGCCCCCTACATGCGTTAGCTCACGTGGTCTTCCCAGGGTTCCTAGGGGAGGAACAATTTCCCCACTTCACAGATGAGGAACCTGAGGCCGCACAGCCGGTGAGTGGTCGACTTGGGAATTGAACCCAGGACAGTCCAAATGCAAAACCACAGCTCTTAATCACTGCGTTTTTGACCCGGCTTTTGTCCTACACGGACTAGATATCACTTGGGGATTCAGAGATAGGCTCTGAAGCAGCAGCCCGCCTCCACGGCCTCCCAGGGACACTGCTCACTGTCTGACAGGGCCCCTCAGGGTGTGGTCCACGGAGCATCTGATGCATGATCACCTGAGAACCTGGTTAACTACGAAGATTCTGGACCTCTCCAGCCCAGATTTCTGGTAGAAGGGGAAGTCTACAGGTGTAACAAGGTGCCCTCAGGTCATGGTGACAGGCACGGAGGGCCGAGGGCACTGCTTTATGAGTAAACGTTAAGGAGCATCAGCCAGGAGGGAAAACAGAATACGAATCAGAAAACCGAATACTCCTTTTGGCTGGTGCGATTTCATGTTATCACCAGCAGGGGGCCTCGTGACAGTCTTGGCCAATGTACAGGACTAACTGGCAGCCAATGGCTGATCTGAATGGTAACAGCCCCTCCGGAATGCAGACAGTGGCACGGGAGTTTAACTGTGGTTCAGGGGAGATGCCATCAGTAGTCCATACGCCATCCCATTCATTCAGGTACTAAGTGCTAAGCACCTACTATGCAGTTATTGTGCTAGGCACTTGGAATGGATAAGTGAAAAAAAAAAAAAAACAGCTCCAAATTTTTGTGGGGTCAAACTACCCGTTTCTCCATCGCTCCGTCTATCTGTCCACCGCTTTAACCCATCCATCAGTCCACCTGCCCACCCATCAAGTCACAATCTATCCATCCATCCACTGTCCATTCCTTCATCCATCCATCAATCCACCTGCCCGTCCGTCCATCCATCCACCATTCGTCTGTTCATTAATCCACTCGTTCACCTACCCGTCCATCTAGACCGCTGCAGCCCATGCAACCATACCGCTCTCCCCCACCCATCCACCTACCCATCCTTCCATCCTTTCAAAAATGTGCATTGCTTGCCTACTGTGTGTGCTTGGGATACCAAAATAAATAATCCAGAGTCCCCCTTTCAGAGAATTCAGAGTCTGCCGAGGGAGATAGCAACTCTAAACCACCACTGTATGAAATCACTGCACTAGATCGTGCTAAATCCTGTAGTAGATGTAGAAGATACAGAACAGCAATTAATAGCTAATGTTTACTGAGCACTTCACAGAGCCGACATTGCTCTGAACACATACATACTCTGAATCCTTGCAACATTTCTACGAGGGAGATCTGTAACCGTTTTACAGAGGAGAGAAACGAGGCTCAGAGAGATTAAGTAATTTACCCAGGGCCACATAGTTGGTGGGGGGGGGGGGGACTTGAATGCCAAGTCCAGGAGTCTGGACTATGTTCTATCTGCGTGCATGCGGAACCACTGAAGTTCCAAGGTCACACTGATACTTTAAACCAGGCAGTGGGTGGTGACCCATGGTATTCCGTGGAGATCACACACACGCCAGATGTTTCTGCAGCTGGGCCAGGATGAGAAAAAGCCAGCAGCCATCATGGGGATGGGCAGAAGGACACCAGCCCTTCCAGAAGCAGACGAGGGCATAGGCTTTGGAGGTGGACTGACCTGGGTTCAGATCCCGCCTCTTCCACCTGCCGGCTTGTGGGACTGGGTCAAGACACCTGTTCTCATGAAGATCCTCACCTGTAACGTGGGTGTAAGAATCAAGACACCTCCCCCCAAATATATTTGCTGGGAGGGCTGCACTTAAAAATGTAGGAAGAGTGCCTGGCACACAGTAGGTGCTCAAGAAAAGCACCCCCTAACCCCACTCCTCTCAAGGGCACATGTGAGCAGCCTTCAAAGGCATTTGCCGCAGCAGCTCATTTGCTGCCGTGGAGACGGCAGAGATCCTAGCTGTTGTGTTCCCTGTGGCTTTTTGTCTCTCTGAGGATATTTCTGGGTCTAGTCCTTTTTTGTTGTTCCCTTCTTGTTCTTTTCTATTTCAACACATCTTTTCTCTAAGTGGGTGCCAAATGGGTTTTAAGAGGATAATGAGCTCATTAGAAGCTGGCAGGGAACAGAAAGAGACAGAGGCATTGGTGGTGTGGGGAGTGAAGGGGACCCATCCGGGAAGGGACTGTGGGGAGGGGGGCTCCTCCAGGGGACAGGGGGGCGGTGCTGATTTGAGCCACCCACGCCACCTGCCAGTGCTGGGAGGGAGGGCACCCGGAGGGAGAACACCCTGGAACCTGGGCAACACGGGGGTGGGGGCGTCCAGTCTGTTCTCTCTCCGTGTTAGCCCCAGCATCTGGCACACAGCAGGCCCTCAAGAGGTGCAGGAAATGAGAAGAGTCAGGGGACTGACCTCCCCTGGGGGCTTAAACCTAAACCCTGTCACCACAACACTGGTGACAGCCTCAGAGAATGACACTCAGGGCTCTGTGAAGGGAGTACCTTTCGTTTCACAGCTCTGGGTGGTCCTGGAGTTCAGGGGGCCCCGATGAGCCACAGCCCCCCCTCCCCAAGGGAACCCCAAAGACTTCTCTGCTTCTCACCACCCTCTGCCATCCTCTCCCCATCCCCAAGCCTCTGTCTGTCTCTTTCTCTCTCTCTAGACAGAAACCCTAACCCCAAAGCGAATGCGGAAATGAAATGAACGGCCATTTATTGAACACCTACTATATGCCGGACGCTGCATTCAAAGACTTTACAAACACGTTCTCACAAACTCCTCCCTCCCAGCAACCTGTGAGAGCAATGGCTCTCCCCAGCCCACAGATGGCACATGGACAGTGCCCCCGGGGAAGGGGGCACGTGTTGGCCTCCACCTCCCCGTCTCCACTTGCCTGTTACACGTTGGAAGCCATAATCCCGTCAGCATCCTGTCCTGTCACTTACAGGAAGCCTTACAGAAATCCATGAGCCTGAGCAGGGGGCCCGCCCTCCCTCTCTCTTCAGCCGGGCAGGGGCCCGCGCCTCTGTGAGCTCCACTCTTCTCTTGTGAGCCGACCACAGTCTTCCTGCTGGGGCCCGGGGAGGGTCCGGTGAGATGCCCACCCCAGAGTTGGTGCTATGAGCGATCAGTCTCCATCCCTCTCCATTTTGCATGACAACCCCCTGAGCCTCAGTTTCCCCATCTACTCAATGTGGCGGATGACCCGATCCCTCCCCTGCCTCCCTCCCAGGGCTGGCGGGGGTCTCCACCACCGTGAGGGCAAGACGTCCCCCCTCTGCAGGAATGGCAGCATTTGGTTACTGCAGTTCATGTTTCCAGCCGGAGCCTCGCAGCGTCTAAACACAGCCTATTTTTAGCACCAGAATGAACTTCTGGTGTTCAGTTGCGAAGAAAATAACTGGTGGGGCAGAGCTACCCTGTGGGAAGGGAAGATAGGAGGTGAGCCGGCCCCGTGGCCCCCGGGGCCCCTGGGAGGGGCCGTGGCGCTTGTCCTTCCAGATGGCGGGGGCAGGTGGGTCTGGCCAGAAGTCCGTGAGCCTGAGCAGGGGGCCCGCCCTCCCTCTCTCTTCAGCCCCCTGAACTTGACTGGAGGGCCTCAGTTGACCCCGGTGACCATCCAAGCCTCTACAAGAAATAGCTCCCCAGAAACCAGGTTTGTCAAGTTTGGGTTTCTCCACACGTCTGGGCAGGGGACACACCCGGGGATCTTCAAGCGACTGGGAGCCCAGACCAGAGACGAAATTTTAGCGCTGGCCTAATGGGGACGTCGGAAATCAGCAGTGTCTGTTGTTGGGCGTTTACTATGTGCCAGGCACCGTGCCTTATTTCCACCGTGCCATTTAATCCCCTCTAGAACCCTGTGAGCTGCTTACTAACCTCTCTGTGCCTCAGTCTCCCCATCCGTAGAATGGGGGAAACAGTCCTACTTGTCTCGTAGGGTTCGTGTGGGGACTACGCGCGTTTCACCGAAGCGTTACCTCTTAACAGTAATAACGCGTAGGGAACGTGTATGGTTTTGTGTGCCCAGCACCCGTTTTGTTTTACTGGTAGAGGGACCCTATTGTCCTTCACAGGGCTTCTCCGTCATCGGTTCTTAGCCTGTATGGCTGGGGTAGAATGAGTTCCCCTCCCCAGCTGCTGCCACACTCAACCCTGTCGTCTCCTGACGCCTGTGTACAAGCAACGCAGGGTGCACCTATACCCGGGAGTGGCGTTCCTAGGGCCTGCTGTGTGAACATCTCACGACTGCCCTAAGGAATGCTGGTGTGTTTTCCAAAGGGC